TCTTCAAAAACATCTTCATCTCTCACTTGTTCGTTAGTACTGTTTCCTCGGACATATTTCTAAATAAGCAAATTGAAAAATCAACATTATTGGTTCAGAAATAATCTTTAAAATGGTATGTTCCTGAGAAATTATCAATTGTTCGAGCAGCTAAGACAACCCTAGGCATATGCGCTGGATCGAAAGATCTACTCGACTGCATTTATGATCGCTTCGCGATGATATGCGCGAATAACAATGGAATTACAGCATGTGGCTGTGTTCCGAGTGCTATATTCGCGCCAGCATTCACAGTTTGCCATATTCATCCAAATTAAGCCACGATTTAAAACTTCGTCGCTTGACTTACTGTCTCTCTTGGCAAGAAGAAAACTTGGCGAAAGATGTTCTTGATCGTTACACAACAACTGGCCCACTTGCTTCCACTAACATTTACGCGGCCAAATAAGTATACGGTACCTGAAAGACGATACAAAATAACACGACTTAGATTTTTTGAAACAGGGAAAATTATCACCAGAATGCTTTACTGGATCCTCAAAAGCATCCAGCCAATACATTCGAATCATTTGTTGGCCATCTTCCTTCACATAAAATGCCTCTGATCCAGCAGTCACTTCTACAGCCGGTTCGCTGCACCTGAAATTACATCTTCAAAAGGCCGATAACTAGGGCGTCCATGCTAACTCTGTCCTGTATTACACAGCCCCAACATCTCCATGAAAAAATGGTGAGAATTCGCTCAAAACCACCTGGTGCACGTAATCAATAAGATAAATCAAGAAGCAAACTATTATTGCACTTGGCCTAACCCTATGACCATGAGCAAAATCGCCTTCGAAGGCTCTTAAAGCGCAAGTAACATCTTAACTCCACACGAAATCTCATAATTATCACTTGGTAATGCTCTTATACAACTCAACTACTCCTTCGTCAAAAGAATCAGTTTGGGACTAAATACATCGGGTCGTCCTATCGCTTTATTCACAGAGCAGCTCCTTTCTACCGTTTTGCCCGACTTCCCGATTTAGAATACCACGCAAAGTAGGAGAGTTTTGTAACTAATTATGTATTTAAATATGATTGCGCAGGTATGAGATTCACAGAGAAGGTCCGAAGCTGAGTTGCACTGTGTCACAACGCAAACCTTTGCATTCTATAAATGTGGTGTTTGC